GCCGGCTTGTGTAGGCTGGAAACCCTACGGGGCAGTGTGACTCCGTCCTGCACGGTGGTCACTAGGAGTTGGACTGGACTCAGAGGCAGATGGTCAGGCCTTTAGGGAGAGTGTCCGGGCTCATGCTGGTCACCTGTCCTGGGTGTGAGAAGCTGGGATCATGGCATCTCTCGCTGACCATCATCACTTTGGTGAGATGGTGAAGGCATAGCGTGGCCAGCAGTGGGGGAGTTCGGCCTGAGATGTGTTATTTCATGGTAGACATGATGGTCAAGGTCAATGGGAAGAGAAGTACAAAGTGTCATGGACATTGGGGACAGGATGGTTTCCCACTTAGAACAAGGGGGGCCCTGCCCCATTAGAGGAGCGGTCAAAACGTGTCAGCGATGGGGTCCAGGATGTGGCTTCTGGTCAAGTGCAGCCCCTCCCACCATGCTCCTCTGTGTCGAAAGGGGAGGGAATTTTTGGAACAGGTCATGGAGAATCTCAGATACACACACAGAAAGAGCGCCATGAATCGATGGTGGGAGGGGAATGGGAGCGTGGTGGGAGGGAGAGGAAGAGGAGGAATGAACGAATCAATGGCTACGGGGCGGGGGGTGGGGTGGAGGGAGAGAGCACCAGACAGAGGAGAGAGGACAGAGAGGGGGAAGTCGGTGGGTGGGGTGGGGTGGGAGACAGTTCGGACTGCAGAGAGGGGGACACACGGCACGCCCCACGAGGACAGCAGGACCACGGAGCCCAACATGGGACCCAGACTGCTGGGGACCACACGGCATCATTGTCTTTGTTTGAATCAGCTAAACTCGGCTCTCACCTTCAGACAAAATGAGTGTCCTTCCTCTCTTCTACAGCCCTCTCTCTGAGGAATCATTAAAACAACAACATCATCTACAATAACAACCCAGCCCGAAGGTCACTGCATCTGCCGGGGAATTCTGGGAAGGTCGGCGTGGATGGTTAGAAAAGTGTTCCCCACTTCCAGGTTCCTGAGCCTTCCCCTCCCCAGGATTCCTGGAGACAACAGCTCAGCCATGAGCTGATATTGGCCTTGGCTGTGCTCAGAACCTGCAGACAGGAGGAGGGGTAGGAAAGAGAGGAGGTGGGGAGGGGAGGGCTATTCAGTACCAGGACAAGGGAAGGAGTCTGTTAGGTAGTACTGGTGGCCGAGTCCACAGGGAACCTGCCCTCCTAACCAACAAGGTCCACCTCCAGTGCTTCGAATCCAGCAGGTGCTCCCTGGCGGGAAGATGGGCATCTCGTCCCATTATAATTTACAGCCTTGAAAATATGGGGCAGGGGGAGTCGCTATGGAGCAGACTTGACAGCAGTGAGGTGAGCCTCAGGTACGCTATTAGAGGAGCCCTAGTGACATAGTTTGTTAGTGTGTGTGTGAGAGAGAGAGAGAGGGAGAGAAAGGGAGGGGGGGGAGAGAGAGAGAATGAGAACAAGGGAGAAAGAGAGCTAAGGAGGGAGATTTACCAACAACTTGTGTTCTGCAGCCCATACAACTTTGCTTGCTGAAAGTAAAGAGGATTTGAAGCACTTGCTGCAGAAGATCAAATATTACAGCCTTCAATATGGATTACATCTCAATAACAACAAAACAAAAATCCTCACCATTGAACCAAAAGGCAACATCATAGAGAAAAGACCAGAGTTGTCAATGATTTCATTTTAGGTGTATCCACGTCAACACCCAAAGTACCAGCAGTAAAGAAATCACAAGACATATTGCATTGGGAAAATCTGCTGTTAAGAACCACTGCAAAGTGCTAAAGAGCAAGGATGTCCATTTAAAGACTAAGGAGTGCCCGACTCAAGCTATGATCTACTCCATTGCTTTCTATGCATCTGAAACTTGTACAATGAATAAAAATGACAGATGAAGGATCGATGCTTTTGAGTTGGTGTTGGAGGAGTCTTGAAGATCTCATGGACCATCAAAAGAACAAATACTGTCTTGGGAAAGGTGCAACCAGGGTGCTCTTTGGAGAGAAAGGTGGTGAAACCTGCGTTAGGAGGGATCAGCCTTCAGGAAAAGGCATAACGCTGGGCAAGGTGGAGGGCCAGAGAGAGAGGGACCCTCAAGACAAGAGAGATCGACACAGCGACGGCACCGGCAGGTTCAGGCGTGTCGGACGGTGAGGAGGTGCAGGAGCGTACGTTCAGCTCTGTTGTTCAGACGGTCACTGGGAGTCGCAGTCTACTTGATGGCTCCTACCCGCCACCCCAAAGACATAATGTAGGTGATACTTTCCATTGGAACCAGCAGCTCCAGTGAAGGACAGCCAGGGCTGGACTCATCACCCTCCTACCTCTCAGCCAGTGCACCTGGTCATGGTCGTGTTTCAGACTCCAGCTCAGAGGAACAATCTCACCTCTGCCCTGAACCTGAACCTGAGAGGTCTGAGAATGGAAGACTGGACCCAGGAGATTCTCCCTACGAGACCTGAAGGGCCAGCCAGCCAAGTCTCATCCCAGGGTGCTTTGCAGTGTCCCCAACCATGCCCCCTCCCAGCCTGCATCTGCTGAGGATTTTCACCCCATAAACCACCCTGATAGTCCTTCTGCAGACACCTCCTATCTCTGCAGCAGACAAACCCAGAGACTCTGAGCTATGGTCACCCTGTATATCCTAGAGGAACTGTGCTCCATGGCACTTTCAAAGGCGGTCACCCCATCAGACCTCTTCAAGGCACTTCTGAGTGGACTCGAACCACCAGCCTTGAAGTGTTTATGCCACACAGTGATACCATTTGCATCAGCCCCAGCTGGTCTTAGCACAGAATGCAGGCTGACCCATCCTCACTGGTTATCCCGCAGGGAACTTCCAGCCCAGTGTCCCCCACACCTCCACCCACCCTGCTCCACGCTGTTAGCCTCTCAGCGTCACGGTGCCATGGATGCAGGTCCAGCGATGTCCACTCATCTGTCCATTTCATCTTCCTCAAGGAATTCTCTCTTCCAAGCACAAATGACAGCAATTCATCCCCAAAGACGCCTAGATTTGTGAAGCCCCATATCCTGTAAGTTCCGCACTGGAGCACTCAGGGAAGGCCTGCTCTTTAACGAATAAATTGCAAGTTTCCTTAGCCAGATTCCACATGAGAAAATAAAAAGGGTTGAGGAGGAGCAAAAGAGAGCTGTTCTACATCCAGTCATTAATGGATTTCACAGGATCTCACAATTTTACATGAGTCAGAGGCACCTAGCCGTCGGGAAAGTTCTGTTCTAACAATAACCCCCATTGTGATGGGACAGGAGGTCTCTTCACTCAGCCAGTTTGCTCCCTGGTGACACAGATGCCACCAGGGCTGCCCCCTGGCTTTGAATCGTGGAACTGATTGTCTGTCTGTCTGTCTGTCTGACTGACTGTGTGTACGCCGAGTGTACCCAGTGCTGGCTGCTTGTATGTCCTGAGACATACAAGAGAAGGATGAGCGGGCTTCAGAGGAGACAGGCGGCATTCGAACCCGCAATCTGCACGTGGCCTCAATTTCATCCCGAGCCCCCCACCCCGTCCCCACCACCCTAGGCCCCGGCCTCCAGTGTGTGGACTCATTAGAAGCTCTGTGGATAGGCAATGATAATCTAATGAAAAAAGATAATATTTCTAAGAATCGGACGAGGCTTAAGAAACCAAACGAGATTTTTGAAGACTAAGGCTGTGCTTTCCTGGTGGTTGGAAACCACGAGCGACTCTGTGAGGGTCTCTGTCCACTGTGGTTTGTGGCCTGAGACCCACGGAGGGTCTCAGGGCGGAACCAACTTGATGGCAGTAAGTCTGGTTTCTGAATCACCTTCAGGCTAAACCCCATCCTGTGTTCTCCTGCCCTGACGACACCGAGCAGAGAGCAAAGGCTTGGTAAGCCGAAGGCTCTCAGTTCTAGTTCTGCTTCCTCTGCTACAGAGCTGAGGCCTGGCCGTGTGAAAGACCAGCCCCCCGGGTGAGGAATGGGACCCTCACAGCTGTGTCGGGAGGTTGGGTGGAGCAGGTGACGCAGGTCTCACTTAGCCTCTGGTGGCCGAGAGGCAAGAAGCTGCACTGCAGTCTCGAAGGCACGTGGTTCAAGGCCACCAGCTGCTCCACCAGAGAAGGATGGGCAGTCTCCTCCCGTGAGATTAATTGCCTCTGAAAACCTGCTGGCGGGTCAGTTAAGGGTCGGCTCCGACTCTACGGTACACAGTACAGCAAGGTCCACGCGGTCAACCCCCCACCCACAGTAACAAGTCCCATCTAACAGTATTGGGGGAAGAGGACTGTTGGTGACTTGGGACTGCTTGACCTGATCTGTCAGTGGGGTTAGCAAACACCTCTCCACCCTGTCAGTCAGCTTGTCACATTGGGGGGCTTGTGTGTTATCATTCTGGATGGGCATGTCATATACCAGCAGGGTCCCCCACAGTGGCTCGATTTTCAGCCGACTGACCAAAGAGGGGGAATAAAGGCATGGCCACCTCTGTTTGAAAATTGGGCCCTGGAAGCCCTATCAGGTGAGGCTTACTCCTCAGGAGGGGAATGGGGGTGGGGGGACTGAAGGCTAGAGGTGGTCAGCAGAGAAGAGGGTCCAGAAAGAAACACCCACACAGTGAAACAACCACACAGTGGCCGCAACGGAAGACCTGCACGTCCCAGAGGTCACACAGATGGCACAGGCGGGTCAGCATCTCACTCTGATAACTGTCACCCACTGTAACAACTCACAAAGCCAACAGCTTCCTTAAAAGTGCTGAGATGCAATCGTTCATGGTCCGAGAGGCGGCGGCCACAGTGGGGGCTACTCTCCCCCTCTGAGAACTCCACTTGAAGTCACACCCACATGCACAGGTCTATTGTGGGCTCTGTGCTCAGTGAGCGAGCCCGGTCCCCTGGTGCCATCTGCCATGACGAGTCACCAGGACACATCCCTCCAGCTCACACATTAGCCAGTTAAATTTAAGGACACACAGCTCTTGTACCTCGAAAAAGCAGCACTTCTCCCCCTCCGGCCACTCACCTGATGGTTTGATGCTGTAGGGAGTCAGGGTCCGTGGCATTGACTGTTAGCAGGACGCTGCCCACAGAGATGTTCTCCCGCCTGGTCACCATCATGGGGTCTGGGTAGAACACGGGGCCCTCGTTGACGTCCAGGACAGTGATGTGGACGGTCGCCGTGGAGCTGGGGCCATAGGAGACGTCGGGGACCAGCGGGTCCTCATTCTCCACTTTGATGAGCAGAGTGTGGAAGGCAGAAATCTCATAGTCCAGGGGCTGGAATACAGAGAGAGGGCACTCAGGGCCGGAAGGTGAAATGCACAGACCTCTGAGGTTATGAAAGGGGACCCCACGTTGTCCCGGGGACACTCCACCAGTATTGGGGATGTTGGAGGTGGCTAGGTTGGGATCACTGGCCCTGTGTCAGCAGCTGGGCCTGTACCCCATTGTTCTATGAGGTCCTGATTAAAGTCCCACGGGGGTTGCTATCACCATCATCACTCCACAGTGTGGACACAGGCATGGAGCCGTGGGCCACATGCACACGGGGGGGGGGGGACAGGCAGGGCAGCTATGCTCAGCCTTCTGCCGTAACTACCACTAGGAAGACTGTCACGGTTTCATCAGCAGGGGAAAATGTGTTCCATTCAATGTGCCCATTTGAGCACAGAGAACAATGCAGAGCGCGTGGGCTGTGAGGCAGTTCCTGCTTGTAGGGTACAGAGCCTCTGCGCTTCCCCAGCTCTGCAGCGACCAGCCGCCCACCAGCCACCACTCTCTGGGTGCTCTCCGCCCATGACCACATGCTCCACACGTCCCCGAAGCCAGGACGGTGACTGTGAGCTGGCTGAGAATACACTCACGGTTCTCAGAGAAGCCTTTGGTGTGTAATCGTCTTGTTTCTAAGAGAACACCATCTTTGCTAAGAAATATTAGAGACTGGTGGGATCCTTGAGACTATGGGACCTAGACGCTCTTCAAACTCAGAACTGAACCCACCATTGGGGATCAACTTGCAGCCAAACAACAGCTACATCTATGAAGCTGACAGTAACACCTGTGAGGAGCAATCACCCTTAGGAGTCCAAGAGGGGAGCGTCTGTCCAAAACCAAAGATGAGGAGGCAGGAAAGAAGGATGAATGAAAACGGGGAAACCAGGAAGGAAGAGGGTCGAGTGACGGCTTCTTAAACGGATTGCAACTAATACCAGGAAACAAACAAACAAATAAATCTATGGACTGTAGTTATGGGGGGAAAATTGCTTTGCAAACTTTCATCCAAACTACACTTTAAATAATAATAAGAAATACAAGGATCACATTTTGAGCATGGATCCTGGAAACACGCCCACATCTCCCAGTTGTGCACACCTTCTGACCGTTGATTGTTGGGCATACAGAGAATCTCACTTAGAGTTTGGACATCGTGAAGTTGCTCCTAAGACTCAGTGTTCTAGGAATGTTCCCCAGGTTGCTGGTTTGTTCTGCACAGTACAGCCTTACACAGGGGGGCTCTTCATTCTTAACCCCCAGGAGGAGAAGAGGGCCGACTCACGCAGGACCTTCCCCACCCCATGACCCACGAGCTCCCACAAGAACGGAGGCCCCCTTACCTTGATGACGGACAGCATGCCCTCGTTGGTCTGGGGGTTGGTGTGGATTTCGAAGCTCTGCCCGGGGTTTCCGTTGATGATGGTGTAGGCTGCCCGCCACGCACCCGTCGCAGGATCGTCCTTGTCCTCGACTGTCAGGTTAACAATCACGCCCACGGCACCTTCCTCAACTGTGGCTTGGAACTGCAAACAAAGCAGACACAACCATCAGTCTTAGGACAAACAAAGAAAAAGTATGCAAGTCTTGGGTCACTGGAGGAAGCCTGTGGGTACAATGGTAAGAACTGGACTGCAAAGAGAAAGGTCAGTGGTTCATATCTGCCAGCCTCTTCTTGGGAGACAAACGGAGCCACCTGCTTCTGCCAACACCCCAGCCTGGGAACGCCGCAGGCTGGTCCTATAGAGCTGCTGGGAGTCAGAATCACCGTGGCGGCGGCGGGTGTGGGTTTTCTGCTTAGTCCTTGGATGATGCACACGGTGTGAGCTTGGCTGTTAAAGGAGAGGCTGGGGGTTTGAATCCATCCAGGCTGTTAGAATCCAAATTAGGCAAATACGGCAAAACTGGGGGGGAGAGACCATTAGGGTGCATTCTAACGAGATAGAGGAGGTCGAAGCTCGTGTTTGGGCTGGCACAGTGCCAAAGTCCTGGCACGCTGGTAAGGCCAGAAGCAGCAAAGTGTTTCAGGCACATGAGTGACATCAAAGTCAGTGGAAGAGGATAAGGACCACGCACAGAACTGTGAACTCTCCACGACCACATCTCACTGGCCAGGCTCCAGCCCCAAGGTGCCCAGACGCACCAGGAAGCCATGTGTATACGCCGCCTCCCCTCGGCGCACACCGCCGGCTCCATTACTGCCTTCCTCCCCAGGAATGTCTACTTCCTTCCTGCGGAGGGACCCTGTGGGACACACCTTTCCTCATAAATCGTCCTTGTTTTTATCTTCTCTTCCACCTCCTCACTTTCCTCGGCCTCGTGTCTAACAGAGGCCTCAGCCTATGCTCTCAGCCTCAACAAGCCTCAGTCTACATGGGGATTATCAGAGAAATTCCAGCAACGGCCCTTCTAAGTCCCCCACTCTCACATGCTGTAGACCAAAATCGGCCCCTCTAAGGGTTCCCACAGTGTATTCTGAAGTCGATTCTTCTTGGGAGTTCTGTGGTGGTAAGAAGCCGTGCTGCAACCCGCAAGGCACACAGTTCAAATCCACCAGCTGCTCCGCAGAAGGATGGATAAATCTCCCGTGTGATACACTGCCTCTGAAAACACACTGGAGGGTCAGCTATAGGTCAGTTCTAACTTGATGGTACACAACAACAACAAGCCCCACTCCCCCTAAAGTCAGCTCCAAGGGCCACTGAAACAATGGCAGCCTGGGCATGGTCCCCTCCAGCCTCTCCCACCTGGGCTAATTCTTTAACAGAGTGAGGGGTGCAAACTGGGGCATTGACCCACAGTCACAAGGCTGCTACAGAAGAAATGGCCTGGAGATCGACTTCCATGGGATAAGGGTCATGAAAACTCCACGGAGAGCAGTTCTGCTTGGTCACGCATGGGGTTACCAGGGCAGAGTAGGCCCAGTGGTAGTGGGGTTGGCTTGGTGACCGTTTGCTGGACACTGGAGCTTCCTACACATCGTCTGGTTTCACAACACACACTAACAGAGGAGGAGGCTGCCCGGGAGGTGCTCCCGTTCCACCATCTGCCTTCGTGAGCGGTGACCTGAAATGACCTCCTCCTACAGAAGGTGGCTGAGGGGACATGTGGGCTCTGACGCTGGGCACTGCTTCCTCTCTGGCCCCTTGCTCCTTTTGCAAACAAGCGTAAGATCCTAGAGTGGGGCTGCAAGGGGAAGGAGCTTGAACCCTGAGTCACTGTGTGGAGCAGATGATTGTGACGGTCAGGGACTCCCAGCCCAAACTACTGCTAAGTGAGGAAGGAGCATCTGCTGAATGTGAGGCAGCTTCTTCTCGCAGCTTTCCCTCTCCCATGACCGAGTGTGTGACAGCTCATCAGAAGAGGGCTGGGACGGGAGCACCGACTTGCACATCAGAGTCTCTGCTAGACCCACAGTCTGCTCGCAAACAAAACCAACTGCTTCCTGCCAACCCCTTCCCCGAGACCGGCATGACCTCAAAACAAGAAAATAACCGTTTTCCAAAGCAGCGAATGAATCCACTTGTGTCTGTGTTCTTATTGTCACATAACTCAAGTACTGGTTGCAGGTAGGTATGGTGAAAAGGAATCGATAAATGAAAAATCAGCTCTCCTACAGAGAGAGAACTCCGTCCACATTCTCCCGAGCAGGGGCCATGAAGCATTGTTTTAGTCCTCACCCCTGACACGGTGCAGGTGAATAGTAATCCGTTTGCAAATATTTTATAAACAAGTAATACCAATAAAGTGACAGGAAGAAGGAATATCTTGGAATTTCAATCAGCAAGAAACGGCATCTGGAGAGACAGTACGGCGATGTCACAAAGCCCGAGTGTTCAAAGAGAAGCAATTTGAGAAATGAAGTTTCAAAAGCAGAGGCTGATTAATTGACTTGCAAATCATTAATCATGAACCTTAATCTTGATGCCTTTGTGGGGGTTTGGAGTGGAAACCAATTTGTCTCTCACACCTCAGCAAACTCGATGAACTGTTTTCCTTCTACAAAAGGAAGGCTGGAGGATCCTGAGAAAATGCATGGAGGCTGGCAAAAGGATGAGTGGAGTGGAGGTGGAAGTGCCTACAACCTCACAGCACAGTTCACAGCCATGTCATCTGGAGGCTTCTGGTTTCAAGAAGGCCGACCCGTCCCTTCTGTTCCCCTAACCTGACAAAATCACAGAAATCCTGGCAAGTGGATTCTAACTCTCAGCGACTCTGTCTGGTTTCTGAGGCAGTAAATCTTACAGGAAGCAGACGGCTTCACCTATTCTCCCATGGAGTGCCTGATGGGTTCAAACTGCCAACCTTTTTTTGGTTAGTACAACACAGAACATGTTACTCTACCAGGTCTCCTTGGGCCATGAGAAGGCATGTAGAATTCACCTTGAAAACAAAGAGGATGTAACCAAGGATTTGAGTTATGTTTAAATCTACACATGAGCGAATTCAGAAAAAAGAAAAAAATCTTTAAATATAGAAAACATTCAATACAATTATCGTAGTCTTTGGTAAGGCCATTATCTGATTCCTGCATAAACTATCAAGCCATTTTCTTTGAGCATCTATTTAGAAACCCATTATTGCTTAATTAAATACTCATCCTATTAATTCTACTCAATGCTTTAACCTGTTATGTAATTCAAGAACGGGAAATTAAATAAATGAACATGAAATCGTACCATTTTGCGTCTTTCTAACAATGCTTCTCTGTAATTCAGAACAGGGCATCCATCTACCCCCTAGAGAAGAAGGGAGTATCGCCTGCAACATCACTTCCTTTAATTAGGGGGAGAATGGAGAAAGTACTTCTCTGTTAAACCGTTGGCATATAAAACTCCAGATGCAAAGGCTTTTTTACAGAATCGGCTGGGGGAGAGGCCTGGGGTGTTGGGGGAGAGGTCAAGGTTGCTGGGGGAGAGGCCCAGGGTGCTGGGGGAGAGGCCTGGGTGCACGGAGGCTCTTCAGCCTCTTTCTCCAAACCTGGAAGTGAGTCGTCCAGTTCTCTCACAAGGTGGTGTGCATTTATTGATGGGTTTGCAGCAAATGTTATAACCACGGAAGCAGGACTTGTGTTTTATACAACCACAGTGGATGCTTTTTCTTAGAAAGGGGAGAGTGTGCCTTTGACGGGAAAACTATGACTATGACCCAGTAGAAGACAATCTGGGCCCTTGTTGATGGATCTCTCCTTATGGTGTTCTGGGTTTTTTTGTGTTTTTTTTTTTGGGTTTTTTTTGGTGTGGTCTTTCTTAAAGTATTTTATTTGAGTGGAAGTTTCCAAATCATATTGGGTTTTCATTCATGAGGAATTTTTTTATAACATTAATTATAATTTATTGATGTAAATAATTAATTCCCGTGTCTAATCAGACCCTTAGCAAGCTCTGGTGGTAGCCTCTAGGAAGCAGCATTGCTGACCTGAAGGTGGTCCCCCAGTGGCTCCAAGGGAGAAAGATGGGCAGTCTCCTCCTGTGTGATTTACAGCTTCAGAAAGTGCTGGAGGGTCAGCAAAGAGTCAGCCCTGACTTGATGGCAGCAAGTAAATATATCAATCCATTACTATCGCCTTTCCCTTCACCCAAGGTTTCTATTTATTAATTTTGAGAAGTATTTCAGATAACAGGTGTTGCCCTGGATGTGCTCACCAAGTTGTGCCAAGAAATCTGGAGAACAACCACTTGGCCAACTGACTGGAAGAGGTCTATATTTGTTCCATTCCAAAGAAGGGTGACCCAACTGAGTGTGGAAACTACAGAACAGTGTCATTGATT